AGCATGTGGACGCCTGCTCCAGCTGCCCTACTGTCTTGGTGTGGTTCTGTCTTCAGAAAGGCTGAGTTGGTGCCTTTCCCCCCTCTATGAGCAGCTCTGCCTGGGAGGTGCTGTTTTCTCTGACGGGCTAACGAAATGGGGGCTGGGCACTCACCGGGGTTCAGGGCTCTGCTCTGGGCTCTGCAGCCGCCTCGTTGGGTGGCCCCGGGCAGGTCACTCAGCAGGGAGTGAAGTCTGTATTGAGAGCACCAGCTCTTTCTGGTAGGAGCAGGGTCTTACTGTGTTTCTGCAGAGTGCTAAGTACTGAGGGACCTTGGTCTCTGCACAGCCTCTGTGTGCTACTGTAATGTAAATAATAATTTGGAGATAAAGGTGGGGTCAAGGAACATCTCTTAAACTTGGTAATTTTCCCTGATGGGAAGATTTATATTGCAGTGACTGGGCTGGAATCGTGCCAGATTTTGATCAGTGTCCAAGTAACCAAGCTTTATTACTGTACTAAGGGGAAAAAAAGAGTTGTTGGGCTCACATGCTAACATAAAGCTTGCTACCTTCTAATTTTACAATCAAAACAAACACAATCCTGTACTGCATGGGCAGCAGCAAGGGAGTGAGCCATCTCTTAAATGTTTGGCTCTGCCAAAGCAAGTGGCAGAACCGTTAGCTGAAGCAGCAGGCTCACTGGCACACTGCACATTTCATGGGGTTTTATAGCTTCTTTTAAAATAGTCTTCACCACTGCAGACAGTCTGTGGGCTGCATCAGCTGAGTAAAATGTTATCCTACTGGTACAGGGAATTATTAACATGTTTTCTCCATGCCAGCTGTCTCTCCAGTGACTGACCCATGCAAGCAACTCAATGAAAGAAAAGTTTTTAAAAAATGCTTATAACCTATCTGGGTTTTTTTGATGACTGGTTTGTCTGGGGGCTGGGCCAAACCCCACAGCTGTGCTGGATGCTACAGTGGGGTTGCAACTTGGCACAAAAGGACAGACTTACACTCCAGAGAAGCAAGATTTATTTGGGAGTTTGGGTTTTGCTTTTAGTTATTGTCTCAAACTGGGATGGGTAAGGAGGAGGAGAAATGCACAATATGGGAAGCAGTGTACAGTCTTCATGTATGGCAACAAAAAGTGTACTTTGTAATACCATAATTACATATGTGCAGCCAGGAAAATCAAGAACAGCTTCTGTTACTTGAACATTGCTGGTCTGGGAAACAGGATAAGTAATAATTTAACGATTTACATTAGAGAAGTTGTTATCCCAGGACTGAAAGAAGTCCAACCTTAGCCCCTCACTGGAAGATGCACAGGATGTCTGTGCCAAGGCTGGTTTTTGCAGTCTTCATTCAAGGCTTCTGTGGTACCTTGTACAGCAATGTCCTGGCTCACCACTGGGCTCCCTAATAGTTTAAATAATTATTGATGCAAAGTGCAATTTCAGGAGATGCTGAAGTGCTTTGGCTTGAGCTGTGTATTTTGATTCTACTTGTAGTTATGGGGAAATTTGTGTAAACTTGCTTGGTTTTTGTATGTGTATCTACTTAAGTGTCATGTTGGATGATTTATATGCTAAGTTAGGATGTCAGATGGTCATGCCTCTCACTTTCCCTGTTTGATAAACAAGGTCTGACAACTCTTGGATTTCTCAGGCAGAGCCATGGCCTCTCTGAATTCAGTGTCCTACACTTTTGGACATTTCCAAAACATTTGCACCCTCAGCACCCAGATTTCTTATAATCCTGCTTTTTATGTTCTTAAAAAGAATATTATTTTGAAAGTTTAGAAATAAGGAATGGGTTTAGAGACACATTCTTAATTTTAAAAATGAAGGAATGATTGCTATCAAAGCAGCTTCCTCCGCAAATGAAGAGGAAGCTGGTGGACCAAGGGCTAAAGGAGTGGAATGAGGCACATGTAGATTAAAGCTGTCTTTATGCCAGGAACAGAAACTTCCAGTGCTGTTGAAGTAGCCCAGGTAGCTATTCCTGTCTTTCAGTCGCAGGATCTGGCATTTAAATGACAGTGGTGTTAAGAGGTTTTGGTTGTAATAACCAAGGAGTTGGAGCATCCAAGTTAATCAGCTGTCAGAGGAAGAGCTGAGTTGGCTGTCATGATTCTGCCCCTCCTACTTTTAGTAATGTTATTAATTAAAATCCTTTCTGAGTTGTGTCACTTGATGACTGTTACATGCCTCTCTTACGTGGACTGTACAAGCCTTGCTTAAGCTTGATGATCAAAATGTGCATGTGAGAAGGCAGTGCATGTCCCAGAGGGTTTGCTGGCTGGGTGGAGCAGATGAAGACAGAAAGGAACTGTAGCTATCTCCATGGCACAGATGAGGAGCTGTGGTGTGAAGATACTGAATGCCTTAGTTAACGTCAGAGAGGGAGTCTGGGAGAGGTGGGAGCTACATCTGCGTTTTTTGAATTACAGTTCCGGGATTTAATACAAATTAATTTTAAAAAAAAATCCCCATCAAATAGTTGGAGAGGTAAGAAGACATCAGGAAATTCAAATGAAAAGAGAATAGTTGTATTTAACCTTAGATTATTTAAAGGAACAACTTGAGTTACACTGCATAGTTTCACATGTGTGGCAGAAATGCTCTATAGCAGTAGGAGTTGCTCTCTGTAGTTTTATTTCCTGTCAATCCTTACAATGGATTCAGTTTGTTAATCAAGAGGACAGCAAACCAAATATTTCAATGGTGGTCACCAGAGGCCTGCAGTCATTGTTGCATACACTCAGATGATGGATATTGCTCAAGGGCCTTGGGGTCTGAAATGCATGCAGAGAGCTGCCCAGAAGGGAAACTGAGTGAAACTTCCCAGTTATCTTTTATTCTGCTTTTTATTTTTTTGTCTATTCCCCCTTTCAATCTGATGGCATTTTGCAATACTTCTACTGCTGCTTTGAGTTGATGGTTTCTTCCAAATCTGAAATTGCAAGTAACAACCTAGTTTTGAAATTCCTTGCCCAGAGGATGCCAGCATCTTTCTTTACTAATTGATGATCACCCTGCCTGCCAACAGCAGCACAACCAACATGATCAGATGAGAGGGCTGCGAAGCAGGGACCGGTCCTTTTCCAACTACTAAGCTAGGCTCTTGAGTTATCAGAGAATAGGGACCAGAGGCTTGATTCTGAATTTGTGCAATATACATGGCACAAGAAAGTCTTGCATCATCTCTACGTTTTCTGCATCCTTGCAGTAGAATGGATCTTGTGAATGGATTGTGGCAGAGACAAAACTGGTCTTGTCTGTTACCTGTTCACATAAAACAGGCATCTTCCCATGTGGATCTCAGTTTGTAACAATATTGTTTTCCCTAGAAGCACTCTAAAAAAGACAAGCAAAGAACAAAAAATCCAAAACAAAAACCACCAACCCCAAACCTGTACAATTGGCTCTAAAAAAATAAGCCAGATTTAGTTTCTGAAGCCAGGGACACCTGTGACCCAAGCCAAACTGGTCCACAGCAATGTACCCAGCAACCATGGCTACTGGAGCACTCAGGTGTCCCTGGTGGCCTGTGGCACAGCCTGCTTTATGGTGTAGTTTCCTGTGCCACAACATGACCAGGATGCTGGAGTGTTCTCCCAGTTGGGCAGCAGCTGGTCTCCAGAGCACAAATGTCTTTGCTACCCAGGCAAGTCTGAGATGAGCAGTAGTTAAACATCCCTCTCTGCTGCAGATCTGTTTGTTAGTAAGCATCTGTTTTTGTATACTTGCTCCCAAATAAGGTATGTGTTTACTTTTTGCCATCGTCTAATCAGCAACTCAGAGGATAAGCTGATATTCTATACTTAGTCCAGATACTCTATAGAGATGATTAGGTATGTATCAAAGAAGAGGTTCCTGGTTTTTTTCCTAGGAAGTCACACTTCTCTCTCCTTCTCCTTCTCTTCTTCCTGTATTACTGCAGCTTCTGTCTCTGCTCATGTTGCTGCTCTGTGCAACCATGAAGCACATGTTAGTGGGAGGGCTTGTGTAGATTTCTGAACATATTTGAAATAATTTGCCTGTAGAAAGTGATTGTGGTCTCTTTGCCGTGAGAAGAGTAGCTGCTGTCCTGATGTTACTTGAAATATCAAATGTTTATGGAAGATGACACAACAAAGCTGTTTACCATATGATATACAAGACACACTGATACTAGGTTTTTTTTTCCTTGCAGTTTGCTGGGGAAAAAATAGAATACAGTAATGCAATTTGTGCATTCTTTTGTTTTGTATGTGCCTTTAATAGCATGACAGTGTTCTCCTAACCAAGTCATAAAATGTTACTTATCATTCATAGTGAGCTTGTATCTTGAGACTTCCATGCAAAACTGAGGGCTTAGTCAGGTATATGTAGTAAGGGACTTAATAAGACATTTATGAGATTCAATGTGCAGGTCAGTTCAGGTTAGGCTGTTTCTGGTCACACCTCTCATTCACAACTCTTGACAGCATCTCCCTCTGCCCCTTCTTTTATTTCTCTGGATTGAGATCCTCTGGACAGTTGTTCTTCACTCTTGGTTTTGGGATTTTAGACCACTGCACCAGTGTAGAGACTTGTAAGCTGACTCAGTGCCAGCTGGTGTGGGTCTAGAGACAATGCAGTTAACTGCACACTATGGATTTACTAGCTTGGATCAGTGTGTTCATGCAGGTCTCAGCATTACATCCCAGCTGTATTCCCAGCCATACTCTTAAGCTGCCCCATGTGTTTTCTTCACACAAAGATGCTCTCTGAGCCAGACAAAGCAAGAACTAGTGCTGTGAAGCTTTATGGCTATCTGCAGGCTTTTAATTTGGGAATTGCTGTTCCACTGTCTCTTGGCTCTTGAGCTGTGCCCATCATTAAGATGAAGTGTGTTACAGGGAATGAACCAGATGGGGCAAAGAGCCTGAGTTCAAACACTATAAGCAGCAAAAGTGTCTTACCCTGCCTAAATCAAGTAAGTATCTGTATTTTTACACATTGTCTTGTTCCTCTTGTGTCATCCAGGTTGTATGGTTGCACCCTGGAAATGGGATGTCAGTCCCGTTCAGGGAGCATAAAGGAAGAAAGAAAATCTCCCAGTTGCTGCTGCTGTGACAGCGAGTGAGAGCAGGAAAATGTCGACAGTCACATCAGCAATCCAGGCTCCTCAGGGGCCTGTGAATCCGCCACCTCCCGAGGTCACTAATCCTAACAAGCCTGGCAGGAAGACCAACCAATTGCAATATATGCAAAATGTTGTGGTAAAGACCTTGTGGAAGCATCAGTTTGCTTGGCCTTTCTACCAACCTGTTGATGCAATTAAATTGAACTTGCCGGTATGTATTTAGCATCTTCTGCTCTGTGTTCTGTTCTTAGAAAGCTTTGGGTCAGTGAGATCAGTTTTCTGATCTCTGGATCAGAACAGTTCAGTTGCTTTTGGGGATTGCCTTGAATGCTCTTAGACTCGCTGAATGAGATTGTCTTTCAGAGCTAGAGAGATGCAGGTCTCTGAAGGAGAAAACTGCTTCTCCCTCAGTGAGGGAAGAGAAGAGCACAAAGGCAAGCTGTCCTAAAGCATCTGAAGTGTAATTCTTCATTTGTGATGTCTTCACCCCTTGTCCCACCTCTGTCCAATTTGAGAGAGTCATGAAGCCCATAGCAATGCATTTGGCATTGGGCTCACCCTAACTTATGTTTTCTGTAGGCTTTCCTGGGTTTGCCACTGACTTGAGTGTTGAGGAACTCGGCTCTTCTCCAGCACGAGAAAATTACAGTGTATAACCTTGCATGCCTAGAGCACCTCCAGACTAATCACAGCCTCTACAGAGGCCAGCCTAGGAACTGGGTTAACATGTGGAAGCTTTTTAAAGGGCTGAAACGCCCTTAAAAAAAAGACTGAAGCTTTTCACACAGTCTTAGCCAGTGCTGGCACTGATAAACTTTTGCAAGTGCCAGAGGCAGTCTTTTAAAAAGCAAAGCAGAAATGCTGTTTCCCAAATTGTAGCCAGTCCACTGTTAACCTGAGCACCCTGCCAAAGCTAGCTCTGACCCTGCTGCTCTGCTTCTTTAAGCACCCATTAGTATGTCTGTCTGAGCATGTATTTGGGGCAGTTGTGTAAAGTTCATGGTTGTAGAAGGAGTTCTGCTGCTTTGTAGTTACTTGCATCATAATGGTAGACTTGGTAGACTAGAAGTCCACAAATGAGAAAATAAACAAAAGCAGAGATGATGTTTGAAACTTACACAAAAATTTGGGGGTGTCTTTTGGAAGGGGAGAATGAGGAGAAAGCTGGGTGTAAAGGGAGATGTGAACAGCACTTTTTGTGCATCAGGAGCTGTAATGTCTTTTCTGTTTCTCCAACAGGATTATCACAAAATAATAAAAAACCCCATGGACATGGGGACCATCAAGAAGCGCCTGGAACATAACTATTACTGGAGTGCCAGTGAATGTATGCAGGATTTCAACACCATGTTTACAAATTGTTACATTTATAACAAGGTAAATACCCTGGACGAGCTTTTAGCTGCCTAGAAAAGGCCCTCCTACAGCTGCTGCACTGGAGTTTTGAACAAGGCCAGCTCTGCTGTGCTCTGGGACCTCCTTGCAAGGCTTTGAAATGCCACATTACTTTGCAGTAATGCAGTCGCATTACTTGAAATGCACAAAGCTGCCTTTGTGCTGGCTGTCTTCCCCCAGACTAGTTAAAATGGCAAATATGCCTTTTAATTATAGGTAGATTTCTGTTCTGGGGTTACACAGCAAGTTTTTACTCCTTTTATTTCCAGTTAGTAATTCTTTAAGATGAGCTACAGTTTATGCAGTGCTTTCCAGGTGATCTATGGGGTATTAGTGCTATGTATTGCACTGGCTGTCTAGCAGTAAATAGTATCTCTTAGAAGCAGAGAGCAGTTCAGGAAATAGAACTCTCTTCTCTGGTTATACCTTGTTCATACTTGCACCCCTTTAGATTGCTTATTATTGTTTCGGGTTGGGCTTGTTTGCTGTTGTGTTAGGTTGTTAAAAGCCTCTTCTTCTTTGTATTATGTTTTCTACAGTGGTTTGTCATCATTGACCCATACTGGAGGACAAGCTGAAATAAACAAATTAATTAGTTTGAGCCACAGAATATGTGTTTACACTCTTCTCCTGGACCTGCTGGCAAGCAGGGGAGGACAGCTCATCTGTTCCAGTTTGCTGCTTCCACACTGATGCACAGGATGCTTGCTATCAGGCTCCTACTGGAAGTCCTGATAACTCCCTGGATGCAGTGTAGTTAGAGATTGTAACTGTTGTGTGCTAGACCAGCATAGAGGAGTAGGAGGGTAGCATGTACAGAGGGAGAAGAGCTAGTCTGTTGATTGTTGGTCCAACCAACAATGGTTGGTTGGATACCATTGTTTATTTGAAGAGCAGTGTTCACTGAGGATTTTAAAGCCTGACCTTGAACTTCTTTGCTTCTAGGATGTCAATGATACAGAATGGGTTCGTGTTCTTCTTTTTGCAGCCCACAGATGACATCGTCCTCATGGCCCAAGCCCTGGAGAAGATATTTCTGCAGAAGGTTGCCCAGATGCCTCAAGAGGAAGTTGAATTATTACCCCCAGTTCCTAAAGGCAAAGGTCGCAAGCCATCAGCGGGCACACAGAGTGCAGGTATTAACCCACTCCAGTGACAGTAAATGTGATGAGCCTCTTGCTGAGGCCTGACCCACCTTCCAAGCTGCCTGGCTTTGCAGATGTCGAGGAGAGTAAGGGAGCATGCAGGCTAATAGTTAAAGCAGTGGAGGAAAGTGTGGGATGTTATCCTTAGTAACTAGAATAGCCCAGCGTTTTGAATGTAGTATGGGATTTGGTATGAGAAGAATGTTGATAGTAAACCAGTGTTTTTAGTTACTGCTAAGAAATCAAGGACTTTTCAGCTCCCCATGCCTTGGTGTGCAGGTACACAAGAAGCTGGGAGGGAGCACAACCAGAGCAGTGAATCCAAATGGCCATTGGAATATTCCATATCATGCAATGTCATGTTCAGTGTATAGATGAGGGTTTGCCAGGAAGCTCCTGCTCTCCTCCAGGATTGCAGGTTCAGGATTTTCTCATCCCCAGGATCACTAGCCAGGAACAGGCTGGGCATTGGTCAGCAGGTGATGAGCAGTTGCCCTGGGCATCAGTTGATTGTATATTCTGTTATTATTGTTACTTTATATTTTATTTCAATTATTAAAATTTTTAAATCTCAACCCATGAGTCTCTTACTTTTCCTGTTCTCTCCTCAGCTCCTGGGAAGCTGGGTGAGAGTGAGTGAGTGGCTGTGTGGTGTTTTGTGGCTTGACAGGTTAGAGCCATGACACAGATAAATTTGTGATGTTGTCTTTTCAGCATCCTTCAATAAAAGCCACTATAAAAACATCGAGGACTACTGATACTTTGGTTATTAGTTACTAGATTTGTGGCCTTTAACTGTGCACTAGCAGGCAGTTCTTCAACAGGGCAGGTCTAGCAGAAGAGCCATTTGCCTGCCTGTCAGAGGCTCAAGTTCTGCTTCCAGCTTTTTCTTTTGCTATGTAACTTGTCAGATGTCAAGTGCTTTGGACTCTTGGGTGTTGAGCTGGCAGTGGGGGAGTGGTTGTTACTATTTGTCACAAACAGTAAAAACACTCCCAGATTGAGGTCTGCACAGGACGGGGTTGTCCAAAACAGCCACCTCCCTGTTCCCTCTCATTGAGCTCCTGCTCTTTTGCTGGGTGCAGAGTACCTCTGAGAGGGGTGAAGGCTGTCCCACAGCAACATGTGGCCCACATGTGAAGCTTGAATTATTTTGCTTGCATGTGGCTGGCCTGAAGCTCATGGTATGAGGACTTAGGTCAAAGATTTCTTATTTTCTGTTGACTCCTGGGTAACAGCACCAAACAAATCACACTATTGCATCCTTTGTTCTCATCCTGTGGCCCTGGACTGGGAGATTTTTGCCAAGCCCGTGGTTGCACAGTCCAGTGTCACCAGTGCCACTTTGTTGCCGTGTCCTGTCGGCACTTGCAGCCATCAGTACCTTGCAGCACGTTTCCACTTTGTCGTTTGAAAGGAGCCCAGCAAGCAGTGGCCGTGTCTTCCGTCTCCCCGCCGGCCCCCTTCCAGAGCGTCCCTCCAGCCGTGTCTCAGACGCCCGTCATTGCTGCCACCCCCGTGCCAACCATCACTGCTAATGTCCCGCCTGTCACTGCCCCTCCCGCCGCTGCGCCCCCTCCGCCTGCCGCTCCGATAATGCCTGTGGTGCCTCCTACGCCGCCGGTAGTCAAGGTAAATGGAGAACTCAACCCTTTTCTCTTCAGAAGGCAGTGTCGCTGAGCAGTGCGTTATTGCCGTCCCCTCACTGCTGGTTACTTACCTTCCTTCTCTTCATGTTGGATTCTGCCTCTCTGGCTGTTACTGTCCCTCTGGGGTGTGCCTGGACAAGTGCTTTCTGTTGGGTTTCAGAGAGTTGAGAGAAGTTTTACAGATTTTACCACACCCCAGCTGAGGTGACGTCAACTGCAATTGCTCCAACTCAGTTATAAGCTCTCATCTGGCCTTAGCCAGTGCTGATGCTCCATGAACCATAAGGCTGTTGGAGATTTCCCCCATTTTGTACTATATTGCCCCAAACATCTCTTTCCTCTCTAACTGACCCTCTGATTTCACTGGGACTATTCCTTTAAGGTTTTCAGACACCAGCACTAGGAATGTTCCTCTCTGCCATAAACCAGTTCAAGACAAGCCTGTCGCTCCAGTTGGAGGAGACTGATGTTGCCTGCAGGTTTTGGGTGGATTAGTTCTGTCTTCCTTGCTGACTAATCTGGGAGCTGCCATTGGTGTTTTGCTATTTACTATGTTAATTTATGGGTAAAAGAAAATGTTGCTCTAAATAATTGGGATGTTCATAGCAAGCTGTGTATTGCTTTAGAAAGGATGAAAGCATAGCTTGGAGAAAGTTGGTTTCTTTTTTTTTCTAAACTGGGAAATAAACTGCAACAGTATTGGTGTTCTCTTATGTGAGGTTGCATGGGCCTGCAGAGCCACAGAATTGTTTTCCTTATTTAACTCTACAGCTTGGGAATTACTAGAGAAATTGTAAGTCAGATCTTGCAGCTAGGCTGTGCTCCTCAGAAGACTCTCTCATACTTCAGTTTCTGTCCAAATAACTTGCTTCTGATAATAAATTTAATTTTAAAACTCAAGAATGAGCCCAGAAGAGAGTTTGCCAAATAGATGCTGCAGAATTACTTCTGCTTGGGATTTACTTAAGCTTTGCCTTAAATTTCCCTAAGGCACTTTTTCCCCTTTCTCTCTCTCCAGAAAAGTAAATCCTTCATAGGAGCATGTGACTGGCTGGACAGTCACAGCTTGAATTTGTGAGAGAGGTTTTATTTGCTTAAGACAAAATTACTTAATTCTTGCTCTTGCCCATAATAAGCAATCTACCTTAGCACACCCACTAAATACAAGGGAGTGAGGGCTCATGGGTCTTTGGTGATTAATATGCTTTGGTTCAGAACTTATAGCCTGATCCTGCCACTGGGGACTCAGACATGTGGTTAAGTTACTGACACTTACTAAGTCACGATGCATCAGCTGAGCTGCAGTAATCGACTGGGCGCACGCCTTTCCCTTGGCACACACGAGGTAAGAGTCCTTGGTTTACATCTCAGTGCAATACAAAGAGCTAACACATTTTTCATCGTGTTTGGGGATGGGTTGGAGACGTGCGAATGGCTGGTTACTGTGGCTCAGATGACGTGTAGTAGTACATCGTGTTGTAGTCACTGAGTTTGTTGAAGCCTCTAGGCTCAAGTCCCATTTACCCCAGGGAAGTAATGATGTTTTCCATCAGGTGACAGGCAGATCTCAAAAATCAGAATGACTTGTGCTGGGTTTCTGCATGCGTAGCTTGAGAGCTGGGCTCATACTCACGAGATCTGTTCCCCTCTGCTGTTTCAGAAAAAGGGAGTGAAGAGGAAAGCAGACACCACAACCCCCACCACCTCGGCCATCACTGCCAGCCGCAGCGAGTCGCCCACGCCCCTCTCGGACCCCAAACAGGCCAAAATCATCGCCCGGCGGGAGAGCGGCGGGGGGGGCATCAAACCACCAAAGAAGGACCTTGAGGATGGAGAGGTCCCTCAGCATGCAGGGAAGAAGGGCAAACTGTCTGAGCACCTCAAGTACTGTGACAGCATTCTCAAGGAGATGCTCTCAAAGAAGCATGCAGCCTATGCATGGCCCTTTTACAAGCCTGTTGATGCAGAGGCCTTGGAATTACATGACTATCATGATATTATCAAACACCCCATGGATCTCAGTACTGTTAAAGTACGTCCACATTTACCACCTCTTTTACAGGGTGTATCACAGCCCTCTGGTTGCAGAGGACTAGCTCCTTCTGGGGGAGGGGGAAGGGACAAGGGTGGAAAACAGAACCTGTTTGGATATCATCTGGATATTTTTATATTTTGCTTCTTTACCTTCTCTTTTTTCCCATAACCATCAAACCACCAAAGAAGGACCTTGAGGATGGAGAGGTCCCTCAGCATGCAGGGAAGAAGGGCAAACTGTCTGAGCACCTCAAGTACTGTGACAGCATTCTCAAGGAGATGCTCTCAAAGAAGCATGCAGCCTATGCATGGCCCTTTTACAAGCCTGTTGATGCAGAGGCCTTGGAATTACATGACTATCATGATATTATCAAACACCCCATGGATCTCAGTACTGTTAAAGTACGTCCACATTTACCACCTCTTTTACAGGGTGTATCACAGCCCTCTGGTTGCAGAGGACTAGCTCCTTCTGGGGGAGGGGGAAGGGACAAGGGTGGAAAACAGAACCTGTTTGGATATCATCTGGATATTTTTATATTTTGCTTCTTTACCTTCTCTTTTTTCCCATAACCTGGGCCATCTTTTTTCTGCCCTGCAAAGCAGAGACTGTACAATGGCATCCTCTCCTCTTTGTGGATAGTCCAGCTATTTAAACTTATGTCCTTGGAATTGTGTTGCACTCTGAGAAGAAGAGGTGCTGTATTTCATAGGATTCAATTGATAGTATCCCATTTCCAGAAACTGCTGCCTGTCTGCCTACTTGTTGGCGTGATGTGTGGTCCAGATAGGCTTACGCTGAGCAATTCCAACTGGAACGTGATGATCGCCTGGTACCTGGGGAGAGGAGGAAATGTGGTGATGCTTGTGGGGTTCATGCTTGGCTCTTCAAGAGCTTAGCTTAGTATGGTCCAATATTAAAGGTGTTTTTCCTGGTAGACTGGGAGGTTTCTTTGAATCCTTCCTAAATATTTATGGAGCAAAGCTGTATTTTTTTTCCTAGTTCTCATCTTTTTGTCAGCCGGCCAGTGGAATCTGTGTTCGTGGAGGTGAGACTTGCTTCCATGTGCAGGAAGTTTTGCTGCCCTTTAACCCCATGCCTGGGATTGTCTACATGCCCAGGTGACAAAAGGGCAGCTGCCTTTGTTATTCCTTTTATGTTCCTTGACAAACCTTGTGTAGTACCTGAAAGCAGCGTGTTGTGCTCTGATGTGCTGTGCAATTCAGCCATGGTGGTGTAAGGGTGCTTACTACAGCTGCAGTATTCACACAGCTATTTTAGTTTCATTATTTGGTGGTAAGAAAATAGTTGTCATAGTCTGTGCGTTGAGAATCAGACCAGGAGTCACCACTGTGTCTAAGTTATAACTGCCATTCTGATGCTATGGTCTTGGGCAAGTTTCCCTGGAGCTGTGCTGTTGATTTCCCAGTCATAAAATTGAGATAATAGTACTTAACCTACCTCACAGGGCTGTTGTGAGGACAGATACCTGGAAGGAACTAAGTACTAATTATTATTGATTGGGTTTGTACAGAAAGACTGAATAGGCAAAAGCACTGGAAGCATGCTGTGGTGGAGCTAGGCTTAAGAGACCATTCTTCTCCTGAGCTTTGCAGTGCCCTTGCATTGTTAACAAAAGCAAGTGCAACACGCAGTATTTTTGACTTGCAGTTAAGCTGAGCTATGTTAAAGGCCTGCAGCAATTTCCAGGGAGAAGAGAGCATGACAAAGGGTGAGTTAGGCTGCAGGCAAGAAGAAGATCCCAGAGCACACTGGTAAAGCAGGAGAAACAGCTAGATTGAATATGGTAGGCTGTGAAGCTGGATACCTGACTTGGATGTTCTGCTGATAGAGGAAGGTCCCAGTGTTTTCTTGTGCAAGTTTCCATTTTCTCATACTCTTGAGCATGGATAAGGAAGGAGAAAGATCCCTCTGGTTTTGGTACTGGCAAAATTTGCCATCCTGCTGATTTTGGATGCCCAGTGCTGAAAGCCTGCATAATCCTTGTACGTTGTTTTAATTACATGACTTGTTGTCAAGGTCTGCTCACTTCACTTTGCCTTGGAGTTCCTCTTCTCCACCAGCTTGGAGGTGCATCCACGTGGTTTGGATCGTTGGCCAATGGGGTGTTCAGGTTGGTCAGGAGGCCTGCCTCCTGCTCAGAACAGGGTTGTTTACACACTCCAATCAGCTCCCTTCCAATGGTCACCACCTTCTCAGCTGAGGGGATCTGACCTTGCTCCTCCAATGCTGGTTACTGGGCTGGGAGCAGGACAAGGCTGCAAATGGGTAGTATTTTTCTTAATAAACTTGTTTGAAGTGCTGTCTGCTATTGTTTTTTTATGGAGTATTTTATTATCATTGCTCATGGCCCATAGATTGTAGTGTGACTTCTCTGAGATGCAGTCTATAATACATTAACTGCATGGAACAGAAACCTGCCATTTGCAGGCAGTGTAATTCTCCAGTGTCAGGGGCTTTCTCTGTGGCTCTGAAAGGTTTTAGATTTAATTCTGCCCAAGTGACAATGGCTGTGGGAAAGCAGCACCACTAATGGCCTTCAGACTAATCTTGAAGGAGTTATGTGAGAGAGTAAAATATAAACATTGTTGTAGCTATAATAGATTCCCTAATACCTGGTTGCTTGTCACTTTGGTTCTCTGGCTATATTTGCAACATAGGTTTGATTTATTTTTTTTCAGAGAATATTCTTCATGTCCAGCATCTTTTTCAGGATGTGCACTCAGCAGAGGTGTGCTGCAGAAAGAAGGATTTGGAGATTGTTTTCTCTGTATGCATGGTGGAGGAGGCAGGTTGGCTGTCGTGACTGTGCTTGTGGCAGGTGAGAGGTGGAGGGGCTGCAGCTGAGGTTGTTGCAGCCAGGAGCAGAGGGGTGTGCTGGAGTGCTGTGCTGGAGCTGGGACTGGGAAGAGCCAAAGGAACAGGGACCAGTGAGCTCATCTCCACCCCTCAGTTCTAATAGTCATCACAGGGGGAAATAACAGAACTTCTTGGAGTAGAGAGAGGAAAGGATGAAATCATGGGGAGAGAGGAAGGCAGTAGGGGTTAAGTTTTAAAAATGAAGAGTCAGCAGCCTTAATTCCCTGTAGCAGGTAGTGAAACACTTGCTGTGAAGCTGAAGCCACACTGTGCTTCACTGTCCTGTCTGCAGGCAGACAGGACCCACTTGCATGTTCTCCTCTCTAATGCTGGGGAGCTTTGGTGTGGGGAGCCAGGGGCCTGTGCCTGTGATAGGGCTGGAGGGAACCTGGGGTACCTTTTCTTTCTCCATCAGGCTTCTGGGTCACAGGAGCAGTGATGTGGGTGTCTCTGCCTGTGGTTTACTCGGTGGCAAACAAGCAACAGTTCTTGCTGTGTAAGAGGATTTATACAGGAGGTTTACTTTTGGATTAATGTGTTAGGTCCAGGAATCTAATTGTGCTCACCAGTTCATTTTCTTGCAGTGAATTGCTGTGGTTGCAGAGCAGTTGAGTTGTAGGGTCTTGAAAGTGAGGAGGCATTCTTTAGGCTATTTTGAAAGATTTCTTCAGTTGCATCTCTTTGAGTACAAATGCAGCTTCACAAAGTGGCTGCTCCTGTTGAGGCAGTTTCTGTAAGGTATAATTAGGCCCCCAGAAATCAGGCTGAGTGCTCATTTGCTGTTAGAGATGAGGTTTTTTCTGCTGAAGTTGCAGGACCTGTGTGGCCCTATCCCTTGTCAGCACCTGCCCTGATGTCATGCCTGAGGTATGTGCGTTGAGGACAGATGGATGCCCAGTCTTGTAGCAGAGAAAATGGAAAGGGGACATGCTAGATCTTCAAAGATTGCAATAGGGGAGGGAACAAAATTTTCTCTGCATCCTCTGTGGTCAGGACAAGGCTTACCACAGAGCAAGAGACAAATTAGACATTAGGAAACAAACTTCTGAATATTAAGGAATATTAAACAATAGAATTGATTGCCAAGTTAAAAATGAGATTGCTGTGGTAGATGCTGCATGGGACAGAGAATGGTCTGGCTGACCTCTCAGCAGCACCTCTGCCAGTCCTGCTTGCCTATGACTCCTGATTTGCAATTATAAATGTAATAATTTTTTTAAGCTGCTGGGTATCTCACAGTGAATTTGTGACGTAAGATATTCCAGCCCACTAATTTGAAGTCCTTTTCTCTTGTTAAGTTATTTTTTCTTTACAGGAAAACAAAACAAAAATCAACAAATTAAAACTGTTGGGTTTGCATGAAAAGAAAACCTCAGACTGGCTTCCGAGGCAGTAATTGGGCATTGAGTGTGCCACACAAATACAATGCATCAAAGCCTTTCATGCAGTAAGACAAGCTTAAAATAAATAGAACCTTTTGTTGAGCATCTGTTTAGCTTTGGAACTGGCCTGAGACACTTTCTAAACAAGGCCAGTTCTCCTTCAGACAGAAGAAGCACAGACCTATTCCATTTTCAGTCTTTGTGGTGTGGCTCAGACTTCCTCCTACTTACTAACCAGGAGAATGAGGTTTCATGACAGAAGTTTGACGGATGCTGGCTGCAGCACAGCAGGGGTGAGGCTGCAGGAGTGTCACCACCCTGCTTGCAGGTCCCTCTGAAGCTGAATCCCTGGAGGTGAAATTCTGCCCTGTTCAGTACAAAAACAGTTCTAGGAGTCATTTCAAGGTAGCTATAAGGTCTGCCATGTAGCTGTGAAGTATCTGTCGCTTCCATTGAAGAAACAACAAATTTGCTTGTGCTGAGGCTTTTAGCCTGGGTCACAGACCCTGAGCAGCCCTGCTCTCTGCTCACATGGGGGATGTATCTGCCCTGATCACATCTGCAGCCTGTCTGCCAGTTAGCCCTGTCCCCTTACTGGGGATACAGGTGCACGAGACATAGAAAAGGGAGGGTCTCCAAGCACTTGGCAAGTAGAGAATGTCTTTAAACCCAGGTCTTTTAAATGCAAATGAAATCTAGGTTTAGCCGTTCTTCCTTTTGGTAAAAGTAGTTTGAGTTAAGGTTTTATACATGGTAGTAATGTATGCATAGAATCAATGAAGTTCTAGGAGTGCTATAAACTGTTCTCTAAACTAAGTCATTCTGTCCCAAACAGCAAGAGAAATGGATCAAAGTGACAGCTGAAAAATAAGAGAAAGAAACAAGGTGCAAATATTTAACTCCCCATATTTATCCTCACTACCCCAGGAAATAACATATTAATAGGTTCATAAAGGGTGAATTCTGTATCCTTTCTTTATCAATTAGGCTTTAAAATCAAAAGTAGGTGTTGTTGTATTGTAACTGTAAATGTCTATATTGCTGTAGGAATTGCCAAGCAAAATTAACTTCCCTGTGTTAGCACGAAGTCAGAGTTAGATGATCATGATCTTTTCTACCCTTTGAGATTTACAGGGCAAAAAGATCCAAGCAGCACCTAGAAGTACCTGCCTAAAGTGATTCTGTAACTGGAGCTTGGTTGTGTGTTGACTCCTGCGCTTCCTGTCCATGATACTTGTTTACATTAGTTTCTGATCCAGCAAACTCTTTCTAAATGACTGTTTTCTAATAGAATGTGGACCTGAAATTTTCATATAGTACTACTTAAAAAAAAACAAAAAAAAACAACCCAAATTTAGAATCTTGGTGTTTAAACTGCAGTAGAGCAACATGACCTTCTTTGGCTGCCTGGTGTTTGTTCTCTTGCTTGTATTAAAAAGCAGAAGCTCTGAATGTCATTTAGGGCCCTGTAAGCCAGATGAAAACTACTGTTCTCTTAGATGTGATTTTTGGGGTTATTCTGAGTTGTCTCCAAGTTGCACGTGTCCTCCATTGCTACAAATGTCTTTTGCTTATGACTTTTTCTCCCCTTTCCCTTTGGCTTGTTTGTTTGCAGAAAAAAATGGACAGTCGGGAATACCAGGACGCCCAAGGTTTTGCAGCAGATATTCGGTTAATGTTCTCTAATTGTTACAAGTACAATCCTCCAGACCACGAAGTGGTAGCGATGGCCAGGAAGCTCCAGGTAAAGGTGTTGGAAAATGTCTTGTTTAGTTAAGCTACAAGGTGTCCATCCAAAGATCCAAGCATGGAGTCTGCTCTTGGCACCAACAAGGGAAAGTCAGTGATTCCTCCAGCCCTTGGAAAGAGCCATGTTCTCTGCTACAGAACTGTTATGCTCTTCACGTGGTGTGGCCTAATGCCATATTCCACTCCTAAATTGTTACATCCATTGCTGTATTAAAGCAATGGGAGAATTTTCTTGGGCTGACAGAATATGTATACTTATCTGTACACTATTATTGTACAGCACCTTGAGTAGTGCAGTGGAACCCTGACCCATGTTGGGCTGTCAGGTGTGCCTAAAAGGCCAAAATGTGGTCTTGGTGGCCACGGCTCCTTTTAGTAACCACTTTTTCCCCCCTTTTTCTAGGATGTCTTCGAGATGAGGTTTGCCAAGATGCCCGATGAGCCAGCAGAGGTCCCACCTCCACCTCCACCAACAGCACCAGTGGTGAGCAAAAGCACAGAGAGCAGTCACAGCAGTGAGGAGAGCTCGTCTGACTCAGATAGCTCCGACTCAGAAGAAGAGCGAGCGACTCGGCTGGCGGAGCTCCAGGAGCAGGTATTGCCAAGCAGTGTGCCTGTGTAGTATAGAGGGCATAGCAGGAAGAAGGGTTTAATTTTGTTCTGAAAAATCCCCTCTGGGCTGGAATGCAGCAAAGTGATCTCCCTATCTGCCAACTAAAGGGGAAAAATACCTGTGAAATAAGTGCATATTTGGTGTAATGTTAATTTTCTTCTAGATAGCCACTCTCACTGCTGATGCTCTGTGCTTCCTTCTGGGGTCCCAGAGTATGAATGAAGGTGCCTGCAATACTAGGGATCTGGGAAGAACAGAGTGACCCAGGTGAAAGCTTAGAAGCTTCCTGAGGGATATTGTTCCCCTGTACCCTGTCTGTAGAAATGAGCTCTTTTGATGGTTGTGGCTGCGAACACTTAAGCTGTGGACCTTATTATTACAGATACACGATGCCAGGTGCCACAGTGCTTACATGGGCTACCATAATACAACAAAGCATTAATGAAGTAGCTTATCCTCAGAGCAAGCTAGTAAGAGAGCCAAGAAGAGAACCCAGTATTCTAGAGGCCAAGTTGTTAACACTCTAGATGGAACTATTAAGCTTAATTTTTATTTGCCCCTATAAAAAAAGAATGATGTTTTCGTTTGAGTCAGCTTCTGTGTTTTAAAAATCTAAAATCAAGCAAAGTCTCCTGAGTTCAACCACTAGACTCCTTGATCACTGTCTTTGTGATACACTTACATGTTGGGATATTAGAGGAAGGGTATGTGGAGGCATCATTTGTTTTACCTTGAATTTTTTCACTGTTCTCCACCAGCTGAAGGCTGTCCATGAGCAGCTAGCAGCATTGTCACAAGCACCAGTGAACAAACCAAAGAAAAAAAAAGAGAAGAAGGAAAAAGAGAAGAAAAAGAAAGATAAAGAGAGAGAAAAAGAAAAGCACAAAGTAAAAGTTGAGGAGGAGAAGAAACCCAAGGTGGCTCAACCACCAAAACAAACCCAGCAGAAGAAAGCCCCAGCTAAGAAAGCAAACAGCACAACCACAGCTAACAGGTAAGAGTCTGCCTTCTCCATGTTGCCTGAAAGCGAATGCCAAGAGCTTCCAGCCCATTTCTTTTGTCCCTGTTGAATTCCTGGTGAAGCTCAGTTGTCAGAGCAGTTAATTCACTGTTGAATAGTGTCCCCATTCCCAGGCAGCTCCAGGGAGTCTTTTAAGTTAGAGCTGGCACTGGAACCATCCTATTTCCAGTGTCCAACTCTCTTAGAATCCCTGCCTGATCACTCTCAGATAAGGTTTTGCTTTTTTGCCTTTTGTGCAGCCAGCAAGAGTGTGCCATTTCATTGCTGCCCCCCTGCTGCTACATGGGCTTGTTGTCATGTCTTACAAAGCTAAACTATAACAGAACAGCTATCTCAGATTTCTGAGCCCCTTCAGAAATTGTGGTGGTGTTGAAGCCATCTGGCTAGTGGTCCAAAACCAAGGGCATTGGGGATGTTGGTTACAAGGGGGTAGAAGAAGGGACTTCATTGCTTCTTTATACCCATGGATGTTTCTGTGCTTGCCAAACCCCCCAGGCAGCCCAAGAAAGGAGGCAAACAGGCATCTGCAACCTACGATTCAGACGAGGAGGAGGAAGGTCTTCCCATGACCTATGATGAGAAACGACAGCTCAGCTTGGACATCAACCGCCTGCCCGGAGAGAAGCTGGGCAGGGTAGTGCACATCATCCAGTCCAGGGAACCTTCCCTCAGAGACTCCAATCCTGATGAGATAGAAATAGATTTTGAAACATTGAAGCCCACAACTTTACGAGAACTGGAGAGATACGTGAAATCTTGTTTACAGAAAAAACAAAGGAAACCATTTTGTAAGTTACCTCCTGGGGCATGGGTTCCCCCACCAGCTCTTGGGCTCAGCTCTGGAGTTCAGGGCATGTGTGTTGGGATTCTCTTATCCAGCTGTTGGGTATACGATGATGGGGATTTTTAGATATTCTTTTCTATCAAGAAAATGTACAGAAACTTTCTATTTTTTCTGTTCTTTCTTCTCATGTCCTATCATGGATTCCTAGAGGACTGTTTGGTTCCTCTGCAAGACCCATGTGATACCTTTACTACTTATCTAGAATCTAGAAGGCACTATGGAGGTTTCAGTCTCAGTGTGTTAGGTGTTATGTGTTAGGTGTTATTCCAATGTGCACACATTGGAAGGATCAGGTTCATATCCTGAATGCTTTAGCATCTAATTATGAAGGAAACAAAAAGCAAGGTTGGAATCCAGAATACCAAGGGAATAAATGACTTCCCCAAAGTCACCTGGGCAACCTGTGGATTCCGGGTGTAAGTGGCTGAGTTGTACATTCCCCAAAAACTGCTGCTCTTGGATGGTGGGATCACCACATTACCCCCAGTCTATCAGATCACATTATGAATGTTAATGTGCTGCCAAGTGTACACTACAGTGTGGGACAAACCTTTCTCTGTGCCTCATCCACAGAGAGTGAATTGTTCCAGCCCCTTGAGAATTTAGCTCCAGCTGAATAGCAGTAGGATCACTTACCTGAAGTGGTCCTGGCTCTGTCCATTTGCTTGTAGGTTAAGAGGGAGTTGCCCTGTTAAGAGTGTAATACAATTAACTCCTCACAGCTCTTGCAGAGCACCTTAGTTTCCTCACCCACAGGACTTCCAGGTAGGCCTAAGAAAAGCTCATACTTTGATCCCTTTTGGTTTTTAATATACTGCTTTGATTTTTATTTTTTTTCTTGAATCCTTCACTATTGGAATAGCTCAGGAAAAGATTTTCCAGAGTGGTTAGGAAAAAAAGAGGTGTCCTTTTGGAACCAAAGCATAGAATAACACAGGTAACCTCAGATGTCTGTCTGCTCCTCTGAGACTGGTACAAACTGGACCAGCAGACTGGCATGCCTGACCCCAGCCCAACTCTCTAGCTGTCTGCTCTCTATTGCAGTGCTTAGTTTTCAGGGACACACCCTCATAGAACCTTGCTTTCCAGATTTCTGTTATTTTTTTTAATCATTGCTTTAAAACAGTGCACAGAAATGTAGGTATTTCCTTGCTGGATCAGGCATAATGTCTGGCCCCTGTCTTGTACTTCTGATCCTGGCCAACACCTGTGTTCAATTAGACCTTTGGAGGGATATTTCTTCTGCTCAAAAGTATGAGTGCTGCTGGGACTTCTCACCATTTCCATCTTTACTGGTGCAGCTACATTCTTGCTGTCTGCCAGCCTTTGCCTTGCTTGGTTTTTCATTTGTCCTTGTTTTATATATAAAGCAACATAAAACACAGTACATTTTTTAATGAAGAATCTGAAGTTATAGTGGCAGCTGCTTTCTTCTGACAGCCTTTAATGGGACACTTTATTTTACAGGGCAGAAAACCATAACAATTGTGTAATTACAAATGTGTAACTATTGACCATATAACTGGCTGGTAAGTAACCTGTAACTAAAAGGTTATTACACAGATATTTCTATCTTCTAAAATCCTTAATCTCTCTTAAAGTGCATGTTACAGAATTATGGTGATTGGATAATCTTGACAACTTCATGTGTTGTCCTCTAGCTGGGATGTGTAGTTGCTGTGTTGTCACATCATCTCAGCAGTGTCACTGCAGAGTGGCTACACAGATTTACATGCCCTGTAAAATAGTGATGTCCACTCTTTTTCATCTGCAACCATGCAGTTTCAGAAATTGTGCATTCCTCTTCCACAGCTGCAAGTGGAAAAAAGCAAGCAGCAAAGTCAAAAGAAGAGTTAGCTCAGGAAAAGAAGAAAGAACTAGAAAAGCGATTACAGGATGTCAGTGGGCAGCTAAACAACAACAAGAAACCTGCAAAGAAAGGTAATGGCTTTGGGGTTACTGTGCTAACAATGCCCAGGAAGTTGTCTATGTAGATAGAGCTCATCCCTGAGGCAAAACTGCTGCTGCCTTGTAGCCTTGGGTTAATCTCTGTGACAGTTACCCCAGTTGGTCACTAGTGTAGCAGCACAGACTCACTGCTGGGCACTGAGCTTCTCTGTGGGGGCTGCTTAGATCCTCATCCAGGTGGAAGCCATCCTGGGATGTAAATGTGAGGTGTCTTGGAGGCAGTTCATCCTTCAGAGGGAGTAGGAGCATCTGCTCTGTGTCAGCCTGGGCACAACTGTGCATGCAGACCAGTAGCACAGAGCTCCTAATGGGTGGCTTCTCTCCCTTGTGGGGTTAAAAATCCCCAAGCCCCACAGATGGAACAGGCTGCGGGTAGATAAACTGTCCTGGCAAAATGAAGGTGTGAAGGAAGCCAGGGAGGCTGAAGGCTGTGGGCAAACGTTCTGTGGTTCAATTCCTTATGAGTAACCCCGTTGCTGCCTTCTTACCTGCAGAGAAATCTGGCTCGGCTGCCTCCGGAGGCCCTTCCCGGCTCAGCAGCAGCAGCTCCTCGGAGTCCGGGAGCAGCAGCTCCAGTGGCTCCAGCTCAGACAGCAGCGACTCAGAATGAGTCACGGACACTTACCCCACAGAATGGACATCACCCTCACTGATGCTCTGCAGTGTTCCTTTCTCTCCTTAATATACTGCTCTTGTCCAGCGGTGGTCAGGTTGTTTTTGTTTTGTTTCTTTTCCTCTCTCTGACTTTATTTTTTTAATTCAGTGTTATAAAAGGTATCTTCCATTTTTTTGGGGGGGAGCTCTTTTAATAGGTCAAAAGATCTTTGTGTGTGTGTGACTAGACTTTATGGCAAATAGTTCCCTTTGCATAAAGTCTCTAAAATACCTTTTAACTGAAGAAGATTGGTTGAAAATGGAAGAACTTGGAACTCTTAGCAGGAGATAAATAGAAAGCTCTGCGAGGTTTGTAGTATGTTTCCCTCCTGCCACTTCCCTCTCTTCAGAATGTTCTCTTTTAATAAGCCTGCCTGGCTCACACAAGGTAAAAAAAGAAAAATAATACTCTTTTTTAAAAAGAAATCTCTGTAAAATGGTACTGTACCTGAAAGATGTTAGCTTTTGAGCTAGTTGGTGTATTTGTTATTAGCACTAGTATTCTTAATCTCAAAGTCTACAGTGTGATGAAAATGTCAGATTCTATCATCTTTTTACATAAAAACAGAAAAAAACAAAAAAATTCTAATGTACTGTGGATTGCTAACATGCTTTTTTTTAATTCAATCTTGGTAGAGGCACAGGCACCTCTTCAGGAAGGTATTTAAGCATGAATTTAACCTGAAGCACATGAACAACCTTAAGTGGCTGCGTGTCTTGTTTTCCACTCAAGATGTCCACTTTTCTGAGGGATACATTGGGAAGAAGGGAGCAATGGACACTCAGGTTTCTTGGGAATGTTATTTTTACCACCAAAGAGACAATTTCCAGGAAATGGATGCTCTCTATGAAAGTTTTCATTTAATTGAAAACAGATTTTAGCTGAAAGCTTTCAGCTGAACCTTGGAGTGATCCTTGCAGAGTGACCAAGACAAGTCATGTGCTCGTTATTAGATACATGCTTAAGTACTTTCTCCATGACAAGCACCTCAGCCTGGGCTTAAAATAAAGGAGCACTTGAGCTCCAGCTGAGGCTGAGCTGGCAGGGGAATTTGAGAGGGATGTTGTGTGTGTTTGGGTTTGTTTTGTGGGTTGTTTTTTTTTTTTTCCCCCTCCTTACTGTTTCAGTAGTGAGCATCTAGAAAGGGAATGCTACTCCTGTGTTGTGCAGGGTGCAGGTTTCCAGACACTAATACTTACCTCAATAAAAAGAAAAGAGGGAAGGGAGGAAAAAAAGAAAAGAGAATTGTTTTAGGATCACAATTCTTTGAGTCCAACCTAATGTTTTTACCTGCATTGCTGCAATACACTCTGTTTTCACTGTCCCTAATTTCATGTATATATGAGTACTTTATTTATTAAACACCATTGGTCACTTGAAGCTTACTAAAAAAATAACAAAAGCAAAGCTGCATTAAGCAGACCAGAAGAAATGCAGACTTTTAATGTGGTTTGAACTAGATTAAAAAAAAAAAAGAAAAACCACAACAAAAAAGCAAATAAAAATCTGAAACTTTATTTAAATCCAATGGACTTCATACCTACAGGTGCTACAGTCCCTTCTGTCATGTGGCTGGTGCTCTGTCATGTTTGGTGTGTTCATTTTTTGTATTGTTTTCTCTCTATATTTTCACCCTAGCCCCCTTTTTTCCTCTTTTGTACAGATTTTGGAGACATACAAGTAGATACAATGCCTTGATGCAGCACATTATTATTTTCTCTATTATTTCTAGAGGTCCTTTTCCACCTCTTTTTTTGTTAGAACAATGGGGTTTTTTTATAATCCAGTTTTAGAAAAACACCAGTTCTGTAATGACATAAAATTTGTAATCTGAGAGGCAGAAATTTATTGTAAATTCTTAAGTTTTTATTGTAAAGAAAAAAAAATATAGAGTACAGAAAGTTATGCCTTCCCTTCTCTGGCACCAGCCCTTGAGGCTGCCTCTCTGCTGTGGGGTAGCCCTAAAATTGACCCTTCTCTGGTCTCTGTTAGTGGTTTCCAGAGGCCCTGTGATGCAGGTTGCACCAGCTTTTATTTTTCACAGGGAGATGAGTGGCCCTGGAGGACTCCTCAGCCCCAGCACACTATTTCCATTGCATGAGACTCTGAGTTTCTCCTGGAAGTTGCTGTGCATCCCTGGCTCATTTGGCAGTCACCAGGGGTCTTGGCAGGAGGATTCCAGGTCTTTGCAGATAGTTTCCCTTGATATTTGACAGTGAATGAACTAGGGTGTTTCTTACTGAAAATAATTATTTTTCTTGTCCATTAACAATTTACTTATTTTTAGTTTCTTTTTTTTAATTCTGCCCTTAAATCTTCACTTAGACATTTCCTTGGTAATATTAGTATGAAGAAATGTAATATACACCTAATTATTTTTAATGGGGCTGGGTTTTATGTTTCTCCTATTGTCTGAGACTTGCATTCTCAAAACCAACTAGTATTTTAATGAAAAATAATTGCAACCAGTTCAATACCATGACAACTTGGATGAACCAGCTCTCAGTTTTCCCTGCTTGAAACCTTTTTCCATGTGCATTAACTGGAGCTGGTGTTGCTGATGGAATGTGTTGGTTGCTCCTGTGAAGAACAAACTGCAGCCAGTGTTGGAGGCAAAAGGAGCCCACCCTGCAGCCCCTCTTGCCAGCAGCAGCACCACCACACAAAGCCTGGGGACCTGGTTCTGCAGGATGCCACCATCATCCAACCCTGGGGACAACCCTGCTGACCACAGCCAGGGTACAGATGTTCCTCTAGGACACACAAGTGCATCCCACCAAAATCAGTGGAAAGGTTAGAGCCAGAGGGTTGGGGACCAAGCATGAATTGATGGAAAGGGGCCTGGCTTGGGACTGTCTACAGCACTGGAGGAGGATCCCTATTTCAGTTGGCAAACCTGTCCTAGCTTGGGGATTTGCAAGGAGAACAAGCAACCAGAACCACCAAGGAATTAGAAGAACCACCCACGTATCTTGGATATATCCAGCTATACCTTGGGCTGCCTTTTAGTGGGAAACTTTTGTTTTCATGGAAAGTAAGGTGCTCCCTATGAAGTTCACATGAGAAATCCATTTTGGCATGATCTTCATTTCAGGAAAGAAACTGATGACTCTTTGTTTCAAAATGTTCTTATTTTTTTGTGTTTGTAGTGCTCATTATCTCCCAACATGTCTGTAGTGGTGCCTCTTGTATCTCCAGATCAGAATGTCTCCAGGAAAGAAGAGATGTTTTCAGTCCATAGTAAATAGCAGTAGCCCATAATGAGTTGAAAACTCAATATAGCATTTATTTAACTGAGTTTGTATTGCATGGCATGTCAGTACAGATGTCATGAACTAACTTTAAAATGAACAAACATAGATTTGAATGGACATTTTAAAACGCAAGTTGAGAAAAAGATTGACATTTTTATGGTAGAATTTTTCTTGAATCAACAAAGTTTAACTTTGTTTTCCAGGGGAAACTTCACTGAAATCAGTATGATTTCCTATGTATACATACACACAGGTAGTTTTATTGAAACTGTTTTTTCTGAGGAATTCCTGTTTTTGACAAAACAATATCTGACCAGACCTATTATCAGTCAACCAGCATTACTGCACCTTTTAAAAACTTTGCTAACCTTGATCTGATTGTAAGGTCAGCCTGTTTCTTGGCACTCCAGCAGATGTAGGCTCAGTGGGACCAGAGGGGGATCCACATCCCGGGGGCTCAGGCCCTGCTCCATCTACTGAAGGAATCTGTGGCATACAACAGGTTTCTGCTAACCAAATGTTGTCTTTACAAAATCCATTTTGTATTGATGCGATTTTAAACTTTCCTGCCGACAGGGTTTGTAACTGTACAACTGATAATTCCAGGACTATGTAACTGTTGTTTGTGAGTGTGTGTAATAGGTGCACACACCCACCCACACACCAGCACGTGTGTGCGTGTATATATACAAATTAGTTACCCAGTGAGGTCTCTTTCCATGTTCTCTATGTGGTAGAAGCAGACTGCAGTTACCTAATCTAGTTCTTTCTCTGTTTTGGGGACTCTTAGACCAGTTTTTAATTTTTTCCTTGTTTTGAAAGGAATGATGTTTTTTAAAGTTGGGGTTGGAGCTAAGGGGAGGGGATCGGGGTATGACCAAGCAAAACCACAACCTTTTTAGTACTGGATTGTAAAAAGACAATTCTCCAACAGGAGCAGTTACCACTAGGGCTAACTGTGGGCAGGCTCTGCATTGTTGAAGATCCACTTAGGGCAAGGATTCATTACACTAGCAACATGATCTTGCTTGTAAAACAGTAAGATGCATTTTTTAAAAATAAATGGGATTTGCATATCTTTTTAAATGTCATTTTTAAAAAATAAATAAACCACCAGCTAGGGTTTGAGACAGGCCACTTAGAACTTACCCCTGATACTGGCATAACCAATCCAGAAAGATTTGTTGTTGTATTTTTGTTTTGGTTTTCTTTGGGTTTTTTTTAAATATTTAAAACAAATGTTACTTTTCTGTATGATGTGCATGCAAATTTACCGTAACTTTTTCTTACAACTTTTTAGTGCCATTTCTAGTATATTCCTGTAAATGTCAGTTACTGAAAAGAAATGAGTCAATGTAAGTAGTTTAGCTTGTTTATTGCAAATTGCTGGCCTCAAACACAACAGAATTAAAAAAAGAAAGTTAGAAAGTTAATCTTTGATGTTACTGGTAATCATGGACCCTGGTCCTGGGGCATTTGTTTTGTTTTCATAATAAAAACAAAAATTGTTTTGTGTGTGCAGTTTGATTCCCATATTTTCCCCTCTCCCCTCCCTTTCCTCACTCCTTTTTCAGGTGTTGCACTTTCTCCAGCTGATTTTGATTGAGCACCCAGCTGAGTAGCATTGCTGAGAGACACATAAATACACTGAGCCCACATAAATACACTGAGTTCTGCAAGTATTGAAGTCCTTTGGAAGTA